GGCCCTGGGTGAACTCCTGGGCTTGCGAGTTTGATAAGGAGGTCGGAAACAAAATCTGGGTAGCACCTGTGTTACTCTGCGGAACAGGGGGAGATCTGTGGCCTGGCTGTGCTGCTGTTCAGTTAAAGCCTGGCTTTGGCTCTGTGTGGGTGGCTGGCCTCTGCTCGTGTCCTCCGACGGATGGATTGACAGGGGCTGCCCTAGAAACTTCTGCCGATTCGGTCGTGTTGCTTCAGGATGCAACACCTTTAAAAATGATGCTTTTGAGCTGGCTCAGGTCCTAGCACGGTTTGTCACGCTAGTTTGTTCTTTGCAGAGCTTATTTGCTGAGGAACTGTTGTTGGTGTAGCTCCTATAGCCTTGCATATATGTGTGTGTGTATATATATATAAATATATCCTGATGGAATTGGAACACAAAGTCATTTTCAGCGCAGACAAGAGCCTGGCGAGGAGGAGCTGCCCGGTGAGCTCAGCTGGGGGAGGAGCGCGCCGTTGAAGCAGATCATTGATCTTTCCCATTTCACTCTGATACCGTACCGCTGGTGCGCTGTGTTTTAATGAAGGGAATGAAATAATCCCTTGGAGGACTATGATCTGGAACATAGAAAATCTTCCTTTTGTAACTCTAGCTAGCCACAGCTGGCGTGGGGAGTTAGGATTACAATATTTGATGAAATGAGAGGGGCTTGATATGGGGGTCTGTGAAGAAGCATTCCCGAGTAGAGGTGTGCCTGTGCTTGGCTGTTGGTTGTGGAGTTAAGGAAGCCAGAGAACTTTGGGCTTGGTTTACTGGTGCCCTGTGCTTGCTGCTGAAATACTTCCCTGAAGAATGAGACGTGGGAGCTGTTTTCTGACCGGCCCACAGGCAGTTAGGGCAGAAATTCAGTATATACAAAGCTGAAATGAGAGCTTTGCTAGACAGCATCATAAAGAGTATTTATAATCTTGTTCTGTCAAGCTGTGTCAAACTGTTACTAAATGGGCCAAGGATAGAGTTAAAACTGCAGTGAAATGTCAAGCCTTTCATCCTGTGGCTCATTATCTCTGTGATCTCCAGGGTTAGTGTCATTACATCCTTACTCTGAACAAAAGATCTGATAGGGACTGAGAAGGTTCTCAGGTTATTATGGCTGAGCTTGTGCCCCCTGTAAGGAACATGCTGCTGGTGTGTCATGATACTCGCTGGTTAATCGTTTATCTTTGTAGGTAAGGGACATTTGGTGTTAATGTGCAAGAAAACCACGAAATGTAAAATTGTTGTGTGTTTTCTTCGGCCACAGTGAGGATAAATTGATGAAAAAATAAAGTCTTAAGATAAATGCAAGACAGTGAGGTAGGAAGGATGATGTAAAGAGCAGGAAGTGCGAGAGGTGTCATTACAGCAGTAACCACAGCAACTGTCACAGTTAGTTTAAGTTGTGAATAAATTTAGTGTGCGTTTCTTTGAAAACTGATGGGGCCTGTTTTTTTTTTTTTGTTGTTGTTGCTTTAGACTTTGAAGGTTCAAGTTCTAGGCTGCTGTTTCACCAATATAGCAGGTACTTGGTCAGTCGTAGTATAAATCAAATACCTCATTAAAAGTAATAGTAAGAATTCTTCCCTTGTTGATCAACTGAGAAGTGTGAGGGAGAAGGAGGTAATGGAACTGAGTATTTTATTTCAGCAGCGTGTTCTTCATATGTGTAGGCAAGGGTCCAAGAAATGAAAGGCAGTGGAAGAATGGAAGCGGTGAGAAGTCTCCTGGCTATTTTCAAAATATATGAAACTAAGAAGAGAAGAAAGAGATAGGAGGAGGTTGTGCTGCGTAGTTGGGGAAGGAGCCATGGTTTCACTTACCTTTGTTGAATTCTTGAAACGTAGTTTGGTTTTACACCTAAACTTTGTATTTTGTGAGGGTTTTTAGCAATAACACCTCTCTCAACCACCAGTATGCGGTGTAGGCAACTGTGTGTAGCCCAGAATACACAGACTTGACGGGTAAAACAGGAAGAGCAACAGGTTCATAGCTTCGATTTGATTCACTGAAGATAATGACAGAATTGAGATTGACATACTTTTTGCTTCTCAGTCAAGTTGTGTGTTCTTGAAATTAGAATTCTAGTTTTGTTACTCAATGAAAGCTAGGTGACATGATGAAAGAGGTCAGTCCTTGATTAAAGAGTGGCTTTCACTGTGTGATTCTGACCTCAGGGTCAGCAGAGGGTTTGCTTTTCAGCTACTGTAAGATAATACTCATCTTCAAACCTGGGGACAATAATCACATGCTTTTTTAACTTGTCTTGCCAGATCCGCAGACTGAGGTGTGCCTTCTGCCCTGCTGGAGCTGAAGCACTATGGAGCAGTACACAGCGAACAGTAACAGTTCCACAGAGCAGATCGTTGTGCAGGCTGGACAGATTCAGCAGCAGGTATGGAAAGTGATAACGGGTGAACCGGCACTGCCAGCGCTGAGCTACAAATCTGTTTGTACTTTTCAGAGTTTCACAGAACCAGCAAGATGCTTCATGATACTGTCTGGATGTGTGTTTACCTGACTTCTGTCACCTGGTCAGTGATCTGAACTGACTTGAAGTCAGAGTAAATATTTAAAAAAAAAAAAACTTTAAAAATTAAATTAATAAAGTTGCAGGTATACAAGTTACCAATTTCAGAGCAGTAGGGAGTTTGCAAACTGGTAGTGGCATGAGGAAGTAACAAATCCTCTCTGAAAGTGGAGGAAACAGAATAGTAATACAAATAGGCAGTTGTCCACAAGGGACAATGTAGATTCCCCCCATAGAGAATTTCTCCAGCTTTCTCAAAAGAAGTATTTATTGATATCCTTTGTTTTAGAACTACAGGTGGATCAAACAAACACACAGTACAGGAATTGCAGCAAAACATGTAGCTTTGCATGAATTCATCCATTCCAGAAATAAGTTTCTAGTTGATGTTATAAAGTACAGATGAGTAGGGCTGGATTTTTTTAAAGGGTTTATAGATTCTCACTGTTGTTAAGCTTCACCGTTCAGATACAGTAATGCATTTTCAGATGAGCTGTGCTGGTGCTGAATGTTTGTCGCATCTTATGTTTGTTGTAGTTCAAGGCAAGAGGGGGTTCTTAGTTTGTCATGCAAACGAATGAACCAGTGGGTTATGTTTTCAGTGAGATATGCTTTGCTTTGCCATCAGCCTATTTCAGTGTTTGACAGCGGGGACTGGCTTCTTCCATTTAATTTAGTTGATTTTTTCATTCAGAACGAGATTGTACTTAAAAATTATATGTTAAAAGTTATCAAAAATACCTGCTTCCAGCAGATAGCCAAAAAGAAATTTGGGGTTCTTGACAAATTGTAGGTAAAAACATACTAAAAATGAAACAAGCCAAGGTATGTGCTCTTAAAGCCTGCGTTATATTTGACATGAAATGTTTTTTCTAAAATAAGTTATTTTAACAGGCCTGTTGTAGTACAGCTTTCAATAGAGAGATGTCCTTCATCTCCCAAATGCTAACACAGTTAACAGATTATTTTGGGACTCTTACTAAAGAGGCTAAAGATAGAAAAGGCTTTTAGATTTAACTGCTCTTGCAACCTCTCAAGATTGTCCTTCAAGGTCAGTGGTGGGAAGACGTTCATGCAGAGGCGCCATAGATGAAGCTTAGACCATAGTCATCTGTGCTGCTGCTCTATGCAGAAAGGAATGTATGGCTTTTATTGTCATGAACTAGTCTGACAAAAATCTGGAACGCCTTCACAGTAGGAAACCTGGGCAGTGAAAGGAAACATTAAGCAGAAAGGTTGCAGATTAAAACACTGAATCTCAGATTTTAAATTCTGCAAAGTAATCTCATGTTCTTTGTAAGTGATTCCAGTTTGGGATATTGAAGCCAGTCAGTATCATGTGCAGTTTTGTTGGTATTCCTTTCTTAGGTTTGCTAAATGTATTCACGTTCCTTATGTTCCGAGAGCAGTCTATGAATTTTAAATTCACGCTCTTCTTGCAAAGTGTCGTTGTCTCTTGTCAGAGCTGTGCATTTCCATGTTTCAAGCTATTCCTGTTCCTATTCCCAGCAGCAGGGTGGTGTCACTGCTGTCCAGTTGCAGACTGAGGCCCAGGTGGCATCCGCCTCAGGCCAGCAAGTCCAGACCCTCCAGGTAGTGGTGACCTCTCTAATTGTGTTTGTGAGCACTGCATGACTCTCACCATCGCCACGTATCTAATGCTGTGTTTTTGCCAGGGTTTGAAATAGGAACAGGAAAATTCCTCAGCAGTTGTACCTGTGCTTTCTGGTAGCTGCAGGGTTTTCCACAGAGAGTGTGGGATTATAGCTTTTCTTTGGATGTCAGGTGCATTCACTAATTCTGAAAGGGATAGTGGTAGAAATGAGACTTAAAAGGAAAAAACCACCAAGATGAGGAAGTAACAGTCAAGCGGTGTAACTCAGAGATTTCCTGTAGTTTCAAGGTTACATTTCTGATATCCACTGTGAGTAGTTCTGTGTCTTCACTACGTGAAAGAAAGACAGAGGTGGTGGATGAGCTATGGGCTTGAAGAGTGGAACTTTTTCACCTGTGAGTAAAAAGGGTGCCTTGGGACAATCTTGGCCTCTGTGGGACTGAGAGATCCAGTTTCTTATCCAGGAGAAGTACATATCCTAAGTACCTCACAGATTGGAAAGAAATGCAAGGTTATTTCAAACCCTGATTTGTTTCAATGTGAAGTATTTTCTGCCTTGCAAATTCCATTTCATTAGCTCACGTAGGAGGCTTTTAAAGGAGTTGATAAACCCTGCATAGCCGTAGCAGTTTAGTGGTGCCTTGTTCACTCGGGATTTTGGTTTCATTTTCTTTTTAATTCTTCAGAGGAGGGGAGTTCCAAGAGGCTAGAATGGTCTTTCGAGGTGTAAAGTTAAACACAGCATTTTATATGTTCACAGTTAAAATAGGAAAAGCTGGCTGACTTGAATTGCTTGGGTCACTGTGGCCTCCTGGTCATTGTTATGGGCCCCTTTCTTTTTTTTCTTTTTTTGGCTTGCTCTAATACATTAACAGGAATCCTGGAATGTATCACTTTTCTTTCTTCTTATTGGATATTGCACTGCTGACTGTGCTTCTCTGTGGCTGACATGAGCATGCTTATCTCTCTCTCTCTCCATTGTAATTCAAACCAAGTACTACTGATTTTTGTTAGGGATTTGTACGCAATAGTTACACAGTTGAGGAACAGAACAGTGTCGCAAGGGTATTAGGTGACCTGTAAAGTCACAATATTCTACGTAGGGCATTGATCACTGAGCTACAGCTGTGGTTCTTTCCGTGGATCTGTTAGCGTATCATTTACTCAGGTATTTGAACTATGCAAAGTGAAGCTTTTTTTTTAGGTAGTTCAGTGTGTGCTGAAAATCTGGACTGATGTTTAACCCAGTATCCCACAGCGGTTGAAGAGTAACCTTTTGTTACTGCGTATTCTTGAAATGCAGAAGTAGAAAACCCCAGAACTCAATGACTTTTTATCGTGTTGTGTTGCTCCTCTGTCTGAACAACTCCGAGCGCGGTAAAGAGTGATTACCTCGTTCAAAAGACTCGTTTTGCATTTAAGCCCTGGAGATATAGTATTTTCAAAGATACATTTTGGGGACTTAGCAGGTGAGGGTGTTTGGACAGAGAGGTTTTCCGCTTGGTTTTCTTTTCATGGGCCTTTTCCCTAGTGACCAGAGACATACCTGCTCCAAGAGTCCAGAGGCTTACGCTGAATTTATAAATCTGCTGTAAGCTTTGGCAGACCAAGAAGTAGCTGCTGCTCATTTTCTTTCACTTTTCCTTACTGAACTACATTTTGTGTTGTTACATTTATGATTTAACTTAAAAACCATGACGAGGTTCTCTAAGAACATCCCAAACTATATATCAGCTAGGAAACGGGAATGTTGTGAGCATGTAATTGGAGAGAGTTGGAGGTACCTCAGAATCTCTGCCAGATAGCTTGTGTAGAGCTTTCTCATTAGGAACCCCAATTAAAGATTAGTACTAGTGATGCAGATAACAAACTTTCTTTCATTACACTTTGCTCTTGGGCTGTGCATGAAGGTAGTTGTTGTGTCTGGAAAATGTAGCCATGCTTGTCCTGCTTTATTGCAATTAGATTTGGAAGTTTTGGTTAGACTGCAACAGAAAATGATAATTTACTAAATCCACTAGCATGTCATGGAAAAAGGTTTAGAAGCTAAAGATATTTGATGCTGGTTACGAACCCAGGTTAGTGGCTGTTGCTCAGTTTCCCTGGTCACTGCATTAAAATAGGTAAACGTTTAGCCTCCTGGTCGCCATTTCAGTTTCTGGCTTCACCTCACCAGCCTTTTTCATTGTTCTGTTTGTTTTTCCTCCTGTTCCCCAGGTCCAGGGTCAACCGCTAATGGTCCAAGTGAGCGGAGGCCAGCTGATCACGTCCACGGGCCAGCCCATCATGGTGCAGGCTGTGCCCGGGGGTCAGGGCCAGACAATCATGCAGGTCCCGGTCTCTGGAACACAGGGACTGCAGCAGGTGAGAGAACCTTAATTTTATTTAAGATAAATTGCAGAAAATGCACTGTGATGTTCTCACTTTGTCAGATAGTACGTTTGCCTCAGAACTCTTAAAATAAACTGGGCAAAGGTGGTTCTCCAGCTATGGATCTGGCTGTGAGCTCCGTGTTAAGAATGCAATGAAAATTCTTTGTGTATTTGATTTTTGTTCTTTATGGGATGGTGCAAATCTTGTAGATGAAGTCCGTTAAAAATACGGCTGGAGTTAGTTTGGGGTTGTTGTTGTTGGTTTGTTGTTATTTTATTTTAACTGATCCTTGCAGTATAGTTGGTGATCTACTCAATTTATGGCTCAGAAAGAGGATTTTTTAATATTTATGTAAGAAAGCTTGAGTGACCCTAGTGCTTTAGTTCATCTAATATGCGATGGCTGAAGGTGAATTTAAACATTTCCATTGCACAGAAAGTAATACCGTAGAAGGTATAGAAAATGGATTTTATTAGAAGCAATTATTTTGAAATATTTGTCTAAAAGACAGATTTTAAATTTCAACAGGCGCTTGAAGTGTGTTCCTCAAAAGCAAAGGGAAGAACTGTGACAGTGGTGTAATGAAAGTGTTGTAGTGATTTGAGAATGGGATTTAGGAATCAAGTTCAGCACAGTCCAGGAAGGCATATTTTGTCTCAGTGTTTTGAGAGGTTTATTTAGTGTTAAAAATTCTTTTGTTGAAAAACAATTTATTTTGTGTTAGGTTCTTTACAGTCTGGGTGTTGGAGGAAAATCCATAAATGAGTTTTTAAGCTTCAAACCATATTCCAGTTCCTCTTTTTTAATCTGAGGAATGTTCCACATTGGTGGAAAGACTTCTCTGCAGAGCTGAAGACAACTTATATGTATCCAGGAGTACTTTTGTGTGCTGGATAACTAACACTCTACAGATATCTTAAATCTTAGGTGAAAGAGGAGAAGAGGACTGAGTATTATTATTCCTAGTTTCGTGTGAATAATTTATTTCTTTTGACTGTTTTGTTGTGTAAGCAGTACAGAACTGCTGGGGCATGATGACACTAGCATGTTATGTTTCCTCTATTCTGTATGGTTGTGACTGCTGTGTCACAGAGAGGAATGAATTAAAACTCTTCATTTTAAAATGGAAAAAGAGAATAATCAGTGCTTTCTTTTTCTTTGCAACAATAAATCATCCTCGGAGATGATTTGGTAATGCTAAGGCCAAGGAGGGACAAATAAGAGGCATAGTTAATGTTCCTTTCTGACTCTTTCTTCCACAGATTCAGTTGGTCCAGCCAGGTCAGATTCAGATTCAAGGTGGGCAGGCTGTGCAGGTACAGGGGCAGCAGGGCCAGACCCAGCAGATCATTATACAGCAGCCCCAGACTGCAGTTACTGCTGGCCAGACACAGGTAACTGCACCAGCATGAAAGAGTTTTCTTGAGAGGAATAGGAAGAGAAACTTGACAAATGATGTGGTTAAGTAAAAAAAAGGAAAAAAAAATTAGAGGAATTATTAATATTGAGGAGAACTTGAGAATAAATTTCATGTTTTTGTAGTGTTTTCATCCATAACTCTGGGGCAGAATACATAGATTGCATGTTTTTATCCATTGTGTTTCTGTATTTTATTGGTTCATGGTTGGTTTTGTCTATTTGTTGCAAGTTGACAACATGAAGTATTGCTAATTTCATACTTGTGCCATTTTGTGAAATAGTCTAGTCATACCTGGGTTTTTTGCTGATTCTTTTGTTTAGGACCAAAATTAAATTTCTGAGTAGAATAGTTTTTCTCTTAACATATTCATAGTGAGGCAGGAAACCTAGAACTTGTTTCTTTCAATATTAAATACTACACTTAGAAATACGTGCTTTAGGTGTTTGATCTACAGATCAGTTGGTTTGTGCTCCATTCTATTTCTTGATGCTGGTAATAAAGCAAAAGAAATAGATGCCTGAAACACCTTAAGTACCATGTGTTATTTCAGGAATTGTAAAATTTGAAAAATAAGCAATTTGTAAAGTTACTGTGTTCTTTGTTTTGTTTAGACCCAGCAACAAATAGCAGTTCAAGGACAACAGGTAGCACAAGCAGCTGAAGGCCAGACCATAGTCTATCAGCCAGTTAATGCTGATGGAACCATTCTCCAACAAGGTATGAGCTTTGGTGTGAAGAGAGTCAGAACTTACCTCTTTTTTTATTGCCTTGTAAGTCAAAGAAAACATTGAGTTTCAATGCTAGTAGTGCTGTGAGTGCTGTGATACAAATTGTTGGCATAGGGAATGGAAGAGGAGATGTTTATGTTACTATACAGGAATTCAGTCTGTGGTTCTTTCCACTGAAAATTAAAAAATGGCTCTTTTTTTGGCAAGGGCTATTAGAATATTAACACTTAAGTTTACTTTTACACTGGGATTTTTGTGCAGATACAGATGCAAAAATAGGAAGCATGAGGTCATGGAATTTAGTTACTCACTTGCAATGCTTTTCTAAATCTTTTTGCATGTTATTGAAGGATGAATGAGTGAAAAACAGAAGTGGGACTAATTGTGTTCCCTTTTTGTGTGCGTGTTTTTGGTTTGTTTGTTTTTCTTTTGTGTTTTATTTTCTTAAAGTTACAGTCCCTGTTACAGGCATGATCACCATTCCAGCAGCCAGTTTGGCTGGAGCACAAATTGTCCAAGCAGGAGCCAACACCAATACAACCAGTAGTGGACAAGGGACTGTCACAGTGACGCTGCCAGTTGCTGGAAATGTTGTCAATTCAGGTGGAATGGTTATGGTATGTATTTAACTTCCCATTGATATTTTTAAACGTTGAGTTTTAAGATGTCTCTACAGAAACTGTTGTCTGAGACTCATGTCACCTTAATACGGTCAGTCATCTCAGTAGCTACCATTAGTTTTAAATTTTAAACAATACAAGTTTTCAGTTTTAATGGCCTGTGTCCTATTGCCATCTATGTATCCTGTACTTTCTTTCTCCCACAGCAGATTATTGAGTTCAGAAATCTAGACACTGAAATTCAAAATAAGCTGCTAACTGATGAGCAGGGGTTTAAAAAGATTGAATCAACTATTGCTTTTCTTGAGGATCTCTTAGTATTTGTCTCTGATTCATAAGAGGGCTTTTTCTGCCACTTCTTTCTTTGTAGTGTGATGCCTTTTAACTTGAATTTTATTGTTGGTCCCCACTAGATGTCAGCAGCTCTACAAGTAATATTTGCTTATGAAATGCAGTGAAATTATCATATAAATTAAATAAGTGATAACCAAAAAGAAAAGGAAGCAATGGCCATGTCCTCTATGCTTAATTGTAGAGCAAGCAGTAACATGGTCATAGAATTACATATTGTATTGAGATTTTAGCATAATCAGAAAAAAACCCCAAGCACAACTGATACATAATTGACTTGTTTCAATGTGTGCTGCAGTTTGAGGACAACTTTATTACTCCTTACAATTTAAGTAGATGCTTTATCTGAACAAAACCTAAATACCTTCCATTTTAACTTTTTTTAAATTCCTTTAAGTTCTGTGATAGAAGGACTAAAAACACCTTGTTCTCTGTACAGATGGTACCCGGAGCTGGATCAGTACCAGCTATCCAGAGAATACCTTTGCCTGGAGCAGAAATGCTGGAAGAAGAGCCCCTCTATGTAAATGCCAAGCAGTATCACCGGATCCTTAAGAGGAGGCAGGCACGTGCTAAGCTTGAAGCAGAGGGAAAAATTCCCAAAGAAAGAAGGGTGAGAATATGACTTGGATCTAATACACGGTTGCTCTACAAGAAAGGCAGAGAAAAGCACCTGTGCTGGAAAATGAGGACTGGAATCTTACTGTCCTTCAATATTTTTTTGTTCTTTTTTTTCATTAATAAGCTACGTCAGAGTAATTTTTTTCAGTCCCTTGGTTGTAATCCTGCTTCCTTTACATGCTTTTGATTGTTGAATATGTATGTAGTTATATTGCAAATGGGCATTTACTCTGAAGGGGGAAGGATGAGGACTTGGTAGGCTTTTCTAGCGGTCAGGAATTTCCCCAACTGAAAGCACTGACCTAGAAATAGTGGGCTGGTCTCTCATTACCTCCTTCTTATTGTTGCAGAAATACTTGCATGAATCTCGGCATCGTCATGCCATGGCCAGAAAGCGGGGAGAAGGTGGACGTTTCTTCTCACCAAAGGAAAAAGACAGCCCTCATATGCAGGTAAGTAGAATTTAGTCTGTTCTTTGGACAATTGTCGCTTTCAGTTCTTCAGAATACACTTTAGAGATGTCTTTGTATTGTTTTGTTTGTTCTTTTTTGGTCTAGGCTGCTGTCCTTTGTCCCTCACGGACTTCGAATTTATGTTTCAGACATTGTAAAGAAACCTTCTGTCTTGTGGAGAGCAAGTGTCTACTTGCCTTGAGGAATTAAATAATAGTAATATTGATGCAAATTTATTCAGGTTTTTTTTACAAGCAGAGAATGCTTGTATTTGTCCTAAGAAATACAGTCTTTGCAGCCTTTCTGGTTGCATACCAGAGGTATTTTTTTAGGGCATGAATTAAAGGTAGAGACACCTTATCTTACATCTGATGGAAAATTTAAAATGTGAATATCAGATTCTTAACTTCATATTGATTTACATTAAAAGTGCAAGATAGGTTTTCGAAGGAAGGGACACAATAGTGTAGAATTAGCAAATTCTGTTGTTGATTAATGCTTTAAAGCACTCCCTTGGCTTTAGCAGAAGAATATTTCTTATTCTGAAGTGGAATCCTTTCCAAATACTAGACCAGTATGAGGTCTTCCCTACTACCACAAACAGCACATTACTAGGAACTATTAGGATTTATATATCACATTCTCTTAAACTAGCCTGTAAAACCCAGGAAAAATATGACATGTTTAGAGATCAAGGGAAGGGGCAGGCATATCCTCTCTTGATAGAGCTGTGTGTGATTGGCTCTGCTGGTATGGAAAAATCGTGAAGTTACAACATGATATGTATTTGTGTCTGTAGGATCCAACTCAGGCCAATGAAGAAGCAATGACACAGATGATCAGAGTCTCCTAACCACTGCTTAAAGAAAAAAAATAACTGACTACCCGTCCCTTCTGCAAGTCTCTCCTACCTTTCCAGTGTATCAAGCAAGTCTTTCAGTGGGACAATCGCCATATCGCAGCCTATCCTTTTCTACAGAACAAGTACCACATTTTCAGTATGTGGTTGAGATTTTAACTGCAGTTGACTCAACAAATAGGAACTTAACAAACTTCTTCATATACTCTTCTGATCCAGCGCAGGGATTTCAGTGTCTGACTGCTTGTGCTTTTTTTTTTTTCCCTCTCTTTTAAACATCTCTTGCATTAAGATTGGCCATGGGTGAGAGTGTGCCACTGACTCAGTGATCAGCAATAACTCCGACGTGCTGAAGCAGGGCCAGCAAAGACCTCTTGGAGTTACGGCCCTTCTGTACAGAGACATAATCCAGTTTATAGCAACCGGTACTGACCTGGCTACACTACAGTACTTGTGTTTTCCCAGCAGAGATTTATTATTTCCATCCACTCCTTACACCTTTGGACTTCATTGTCAGCTGAACAGTTCCCTGTTGTTGCATCTGCACTTCTGAAACTGACAGAAACTGAAGGGGGTTCTTTTAAGTCCCACCTTGTAAAATAAACAGCAAGCTCTTCTCTGGGAAAAGTTCAGCCACCCAGTCGCAATGATAGAAGTATTTCAAGACAATTACAGGACTTGATGTGTTGTGTATCTGTTCCAAGAAGTAAGAGGGGAGAGGGCGATGTGGGGATAAGGATTTAATTAGTAAAAGCAATCTCTTGGTGTTTTTTGGTATGTTTATTGCCAGTAGTTGTTGCGTTGGAAGAAGAGTGGATGGTAGTCTAAGAAGGATTAAAACTTCTAAGTGAGTATCTTCCAAATGATTTTTTTTTTTTTTAAATCTTCCTTCTAACCTGCCAGTCCACTGCATGGTTCCTCCAAAAGACACAAAATCTGCAATCTCAGAGTGATAGCACTTGACCGTCTTTGTGATGGTGTTTCTTGATGTCCGTTTTAAATCAGTTCCATGATTCTCTCATTCCACAGAGTGAGGGATTGTTTCATGACAGCAGAAGCATAAGGCAACTCAGCTCAGCTCATCCTGATGTAACTGAAGGATTGTTAAAGAAATGAAGGCTGATGTTGATGAACCTTTCAGGCTTTTTACAGACTATCCTCTTTAAATAAAAAAAAAAGCGGCACTTAACGAAGGAGGACTGTTACATTTTAAAAAATGGATTTTTTTCGTGACCTGTAGCTGGCTTCTGACAGAGTGTCTCGACAAAACATTACAGATTTTAAGCTTGCTTCATTCTTACTAATTTGAAACTTGGTGATGGAAGCTGTAGTTCAGAAGTGTTTTAACAGGTCTCTTCCCATCCTGAAAAAGTTTTACTGGCTCTCTGTGTATCACCTGCATGCTATAGTCCCATCTCTTCCAATTTTTGTGTTCAGTAAAACATCAAACTGCCTCACAGCAGGTAAGCATAGGATTGGAAATACAGCCAGGCATTGTCATTGAGCTGATCATGAACCTGAATAGGTAGAGTAGCAGAGGGTGAGGTGTTCTTGAGGAAAGCATGCAAGGATGGGAGAGAGTGGTTTAAATGCAGTGAACTCTGTTTTCAAGTGACAAAAGTAAATGCAACTTGAAAAATACAACCCATGTTATCTCTCTTCTACGTTTTTCCCATTTACTGAAAGCTTATGGCTAAGTGCAAACTGGAGGAGAAATCAGCAAGTTGTAGAAGACTGGGAGGATACAAGAAGACAGAGCCTTGAAAATTCAATTTTCTTCGGATAAAAGAGAAGAATACTAGACCTAAGAGTATGAGAAGATGGGAAGGAATGCAAGAGGAGGGAGCTGAAATATGGAGAAATGTGTTAGATTCTACATTGCCAGCAAGTAATCTTGGAGGAAGAGTATGCCTGTCTGGATACTAAGGATGGCAATGTTTAGGTCGGCCATCTGCGGAGGTGTGTAGCCAGTGAAAGAAGCAATGCAGATCTGGTGTTTGTAGATAGGCAGCTGGATTTTCTAAATCCAGTTCAGTTCCCTTTCTTTATGAATTTTTAGTTCTGTGTTCTTACCACAGCTGACACGGTGAACTGAAGCTGAGAAGGAAACTGTTCAACACACAGTGACACCTGCAGCTATGGCAGGAGGTGCAAATAAATCTTTCGGTTTTGTCTTAAATTATATTAGTAATCTAACACTCTGCTCCCAAATCTGACATTAGGATTTTTTTCTAATGATTCAAAAGGCATTTGTTTACCTCTGTTGCATTTATGGCATCTTTGGTGCCTTTGGTTGCTTCCGCCTTAATATACTTGGCCAATGAGAGCATGGTGCTTCTTTTCTTCAGTTGGCGACTATGAAATCCTCACCTAGCATTTCTTGTGAGGTCACCCATTTCAGGAAATGTGTACCTCTCTTTTTAGTGAAGAAATAACAAAAAATTTGCGTTAGTTGTATTTGCAGCATTATTGTAAATATTTTTTTTTAGATCATCTGTACATTTTGTCAGTGGAGTATTCATGTGCTGGTGGAATATTTCTGTGCTGGAGTAAGACAGCCCCTCTGTAACATTTCTGCTCTTCAACTGATGGCTAATCTTTAGAGAACCCCCTCTGAGAGTTGAAAGTTAGGGAAGCAAGGTTATTGCTCTGACATAGGTTTTTTTTTTTAAAATGAATTATTTTTTTTTCCTTGAAGAAATCGTAAACTTCTTCAAAACAGCTAGAACTTTTTTCCCAATAAGCCCTTCATCTATAGGTTCTCTGATCCGTTGTTGTAGAATGTGTATTAAGACCTATGGATTTGTGTTACATAGGAAGTCTTATCGTTAATACTTTAGTGATGTGAAACCCTGAGTGCTACTGTCATATTTTTTGATTTGCTTTGGATTATGTGTATTCACTTCTAAAAGTAGTGTTTGCTTGGTGAGATTGGAGTTATCGGTCAACACCATGTTACCAAAAAAGTCTTTCTTTTCCTGGGTAAATTTGTTAAATTGGAGACATCGTCAAGTTCAAACCTCTCTAGTAACTAAATGAAATTTTTTTGTGGATTGGCTACACTTGAGTAAAAAACTCCACTTTGGGAGTCCATAAAAGAGTGGATGAGGATAAAAGAAGAGGCTCGGGGAGAATGAGAAACATGGTCGATTGTCCCAGAGAGCACTGGAGTGGCGAACCGATCAAAAACCAGTTCTATATGAGTGTAAAGAATGGGATGCGGAAATGGTCCTCAAGTGATGCTAAATGGCTTTAAGGCCTTGCATGTTAAAAAGGGGGGAGGGGGGGGGAAGAAATTCTTTTCTTTGTGAGTGGGTGTGGGAGGGTACTGAGATTAATGTAAGGCAAAGTTTGTATATAGTTAAAAGTTTCTAATTTTTTTTATATGATGCATTTTTTCAAGTGTATTTTGGTCTTTAATAGATGCAATTGTAAGTACTGTGTACACTATCCAGATAATAAAAATTTCTAAACCGAGAATAAGCTTTGACTCTGTTTTTCAGACTTTCTGCTTTTTCCAGTCAAGCCGCAGCAGTGCCATGGAGCGGTGAGGAGGGAGCAGCGAGGGCTGGTGGTGGAAACACCAAGGCAGCTGGCAAGCTTTCCAGCCCTCTGTGAAAGCAGAGAGGAGAAGGGGTATCCTGGGGGGTGGTTGGGTGTGCCTCCTACTCTGCTGCTGTGTGGGGAAGGGCCCTGACATCTTGGCGTTCGTCTTGTCTCTTTCTCCATCCTGCCACCTTGCCTGATGGGAGCGCTCCATCCACCCTTGAGGCCTGGCTGCTGGTGAGTGCTGGAAGCTGATTGGCTGAGGGAAGCTGGGGTGTTCCACCATGGACACCTCTGATTGGCTGGTGTAGAGGGCCTCCATCTTGTCCTCCTGCTCTTCCCCACAGGCTGAGGTGGTGCCTCAAGATGGCGGCTGTCGGGTGGTTTGCGTGGAGGAGCTGGGGGCTGTAGGGAGGATGGAAGGAGGCCTCGCCTCAGCTCTGAGCTCGGGAAAGCTGCTGTGACCCTCCTGGAGCTGGGTGATGGCCTCACTGAGCTGAGCAAGGGAAGGAAGGCTGCTTTGAGCTGGCCAGTGCTGCTCTCGTGTGTCCTCAAGTGTGGGGAAGATGTTCAGTGAGTCTGAGCTCAGAGGAAAGAGGAGGCGTGGCAATTATTGTTTGAAATAAAAATTACAGTTCTAATCATTAAGGAAAATACGCCTGGTAGTCACACTGTGTCCTGTCCATAGCTAGCCAGCTCCTGGATCTCCGTCGGCGTAATGCTCAGCGTGCCTCGGTGACATCTCCGTCTCGCTGCAGGAGTCATTGCATTGGGTGGTTATCCTGGGAAGGCCACGCACAAGAATCCGGTGATGATACAGAAGCTGCCCTGGAGCACAGGGCGCGTCCTATGGGTGCAGCGATGGAATCTGTCCAGGGTTGTAAGAGGTGACAATGTTCATGTTACCCAAATGCTCTTCTTTCTGAGACATTAACTCCTTTAGATTCTTGGTTACCTTCCAGGAAGGTGTTTCCAAATTCCCAAGGATCATGTCGTCATCTTTTTTTGGCCAAATATGACTGAATGGACACCCTTAGAGCTTATTTCTTGTGTTTTGGCACCAAAGGAAGTTTTCTTAAGAGGATTGAGCAGGCTTTGAGAGGTTTAAGAGACAGTCAGTACCCATGTCTGCGTGCTAATCCCTCCCAGGCATGCTGCTCTTCCACGCACGCTGCTCAGGATCTCTCAGCAGTGTTGCAGCTTAAACATTCACTATGATAAACTAAATACTTTTATCGAGGCTGAGGTCCCTCACTGTTAGGCAATCTGTGTGTGTTATCAAGTAGTTGGACATGATAGTGTTGTTGAAACGGTTCCTGGGTGTGTTTACAGTTTGCAAAACTCTTTGGGTTAAAAGCAGCCACATAAAAAAAGCAAAATATTCTGTTCTGCGTACTTTTTTTTTTTTTCCTGTGTTCTTGGGATAGGCACTGTTTCAGAAGGGACACACTGAGCTCATGTCACATGTGAAGGAACCGTCATCGCTGCTGGAGTCCTGGGGGCCTGGTTTTGCCCTCACTGGTGCTGGTAGAGGTTGAAAACCCGCACGAATATCATTAGCTGGCAATGACCAGAACAAAAAAAGGCAAGTTTTACACCACACACTGTTGTTTCTTTCTCCTGCCGCTGGGTGCCTCAATGTATTTTCTAAGTGAACCCACTTTACACCATCCATACAACAGCTGGGGAGCACGGGATGAGTTTGCATTCAGCCACACTGAAGCGGTCCCAGTGCTCCAGTTGGAAACTGGTGTGTGCTTGGAACAGCAGTTGTGATGGGGTGTAACCCTAGAGCCTGTGGCAAGCGTCTGAATTTGGGGAATGGTGTCCCCAGAGGTGACACCCTGCAGCAGATGGTTCAGAGCATCCAGTCAGCTCCTGCTGTTTTCTGAAGATGCCTTTTTCCCCTCTGCTGAGCGTATGGGATGGGGTCTAACGCAGACACTGTTGCTGTGTTGCAGATCCACCGGCTGGCAGAGTGCTCTTGAAGAAAGCTGGCCTGGTTTGCCGCCACTGCGTTGCTGGCAGTTTTGCAATCGTAATGAAATGCTGGAAGTGTGGTTGTTGGCAAATAGAGCAGAATAAATCCTCAAGGACCTCACAGCTGAAGATCCGTGAATGCAGAAGAGCATGAAGGGCAGTTGCCCCAGGGAGCGAGCAAGCGTTGTAGGGCTGGAGGGAATGCCCTCTGCACCTAACAGGTTATCTGATTATAAAGCCCCTCAGATATTGATTTTTACAGCTTTTTGCTTTATTCTTAATTTGAAATTCTTTCCAGTCCCCTAACAAGAACAGAAGCAGACTAATTTAAAACACTTTGGAGAGAAGTTCCTCTATCTGCTAATCTTGGGCTAGTCACGGTTGCCAGGATCTTGTCCTTTATGGCTTAGTTTTCCTTTCTGGTAATTAATATTTTGCAATTGCTGGGCACGGGAGAGAAGGTAGGCAGGAAGCTGAGAACGATGGAGCAGGTATTCTAAGGTGAATAGAATTAATAAAATTTTTTACTACTAATGCGAAGCATGTAGGGTTGGTAAGCTGGGTTTTCTCTTTGGGTTCTTCATGCTGATTCTTTGCTGATTCTTTGTACTTGGAGGAGTTAGACACAATCATTTGTTCCAAAAACCTTCTCGTGTTTCAGAGACTTCCAGAGGAAGAGGAAAGTTATGAATGAGTTGAGCAAAACCAGCAAAGATCTGAGGCCCTCAGAACTTTTACTTGGATGCCATTGCACCCAGAGGAGGAATTTAGGCATTCAAAGTTTTTGGTGCTTTCAAACAGGTTAAATAAGGAGTTGAATTTATATATTGAAGCCTATTATGTTAACTGTTCGGCTTTCCTGTTCTGTGTCCTTTCAGACCTTAATGTGGTCCCCACACCAATGGTTTTGACATCTCAAAAATGACCCAAAGCACACAGGTGTCAGTCATTAATTCTTTCCAGAGTTGGTGAATGCAGTGGTGATCAAAAAAAAAAAAAAAAAAAAAGGAAATAACAGTATGCAAGAACAGAAAATGGGAAGTTGGGACAGGAAGTAAAGGATGGAGTTATGCAAGCCTGTTTAGGAAGCCAGAAATTGATTTCTTTAGCTATTATTATGGGGGTTTTTTCTACTTTTATTTTCAGACAATTTGCAATGGAGGGACAAAATAATATCGGGTATATGGGAAAAAGCCTGCTCTCATGTATCCCCATCAGACCAGTCAGGAGAATTTCCTCCTTCTCTCCCATCTTCCTCTCTCCCCTGCACCCTTCAGAAGTGTACCAGTGCTCCCAGGCAGAGTAGAGTTTCTATGATTTATGGATGTATTCTTCGCCTTTTCGTGTTCCTTTCCTCCCATGCCACCCTAGGTTGGAGTTGTCTTGCAGTCTTAATACCAAAAAGTTAAAGCCATTTTTATATCATATTCAGCATCCTCAGGCTCTAACTCACAGAATTAAGGTTAAAATCTCAGTCAGATGAATTCGGGGATTTTTTTCATAATCCCTAAAGGAAGTTTGCATATATCACCGTGATAACAGCATTCAGTAGTTTCATCAAAATGTGTGTAATTTATAATACGAGCTGGATTTATACTGTAGCATGGGTGTGGCATTAATAAACAACAAGCACCAAAGGAAAGGAAATACAAAGTTATTTGTAAAAATAAATAAAGAAATTGGGGTATAAATTCTGTACCCATGGATACTGTAACCTAGACAAATATTTTTCAACAAGACCCTTGTTCCCTAAAACCTGTCAAGTGCCTTACTTGTCTCTCTGAAGTCCATGACTCTGGACCACTTTGCTGACTTGGACCGTATCAGAGAGGACGATAATTAACATTTTATCCAGGAGTGTTTCAGTGAGCTGTTGAAAGTCTAAAAGGAAGCGTTGTGTTTATGTATCTCCCAGCCCTTTGGCTGGGGCTTTGTATCAGTTGCTACCAGAGAGAAGAGTTTCCTGTGTTTGGGTTTGTAGCTGCCTGTTGTTTAAAAATAGAGCAATTTGGGAAAAAAAAAAAAAAACAAACAGATGTGCCATAACCTTCCACTAGATTTGCTTACCAATAGCTGAATTATGATGCTGTACTGTTAGAAAAGTCTGGTTATTTTGTCAGGGATGTGCCTCATCCTTTCTGCCTCACACCCCACGTGCATCCAGCTCCAGCAGCTGCTTACAAATGGATTTTTTTCTAAGTACCATTCAGCAAAATTTTGCAAATAAGCCCAAGTTTTTGTGCTGCTTTCTTTAGGTGGACCTGTTTTTCTCTTTTCAGTTCCAGATTGTGGAGTTGTGGCTCTGAAGAGAACAGTAGCATGTTCCACAGACCCTGGGGAAACCGGATTGCCTGGGGGTTCTGGAGTGTGGAAGAAAACTTCTGTACGTTGCTGTATATAACATCTTCAGGCTTCGTCTGAGGTTGGTGCCTTATGACAGCACATATTGCATATATATCATTCAGTTCCCCATCTGACATTCTACTTGCTTTGTTTCTTCCGTCCTTCTGAGAAACCAAGGAGAATGAGAAGTCAGAAAGCAACTCAGCATTTTTTGCTTCTGAATATTCATCTGCAACCACAAATGGTCTCTGCTTGTATCATGAAATTGGGGAAGAGGGTGCATGGGCAAAGGGAATGTGGGCTCAGAGAAGTCTAGGAAACTTCTCTTACACAAAACTTCACTTCCTCAGGTTTAAGGGACTAAGTAGAAAGATGCAGCAACAGTTATCACACTAAATATTTAGGGTGATTGCAAGTGGCAAAGTTTTCCTTTGGTGAGAATCTTTGGTGATGTCACCAAAGATTCAAGGCCAGTCAATTATCAAAATTATATATTCTATGATTCTAACACAGAGCCTTGTCTCTGCATGACAGAGATCAAACAAAGCACCAGGAATGTGGGATTTCTGATGGTATCTTACCTGCAGCGCTGCTTGGCTCAGAGCAGGGTGTCTGCCAAAGTCCATCCCTTTTCCTGCCACGAAGGACAGAATGTCCTTAGAGTGTAAAACCACACCTTTACCTTTTCCTTGTAAAACCCACTACCCCCACTGTCCCTTCCCTGCCATATAACGCACATCTTGCGTTTCACTCTCAGCTCGGTCTCATCGCCTCCCTGGACGATGATGGCTGTGAGCAGACCTTCCTTATGTTCAGGGTGGTGGGACAACAAGCTGTAGGGGCAGGAAAACTAGACGAGAGGATTAGGGAGCTTTACCTGCCCTTTTCCTTCTGATGTAAGCGGTGACGAGGGGTATAACGGTAGCAATCAGAGCAGCTGTAGGCAGGAAGGCACTCAGCACCATGAGACCATAGAGAGTCCTGCAGGGAAGCATGATGCCTCCATTGCCGTTCACACCACCGGAGGTGACTAGGTTAATTTGGGAGGAGATTTTTTTGTCTTTGAAAATGAATTATGGTTTCAGGATAAAAATTCAGCATGCAAATATCACCCCTGCGGTCTCTAAACAAGGGTGGTTCCATGAGGTCAGTACTGATCTACAGAGGATCCATCCCAGCTGTATTTTCTTTGGTGCTTGGCAAGCCTGGGGAATACTCGGGAGCTTGAATTCTCTTCCTGCAGTCATTTGCAATGCTACCAGAGTTCAAAGGCATCCCTCAGCAGGATGCAGTAGCCCTTCTCGTGGTCTGGCTTTGATCAGGATCATCAATAGGGTCACCTTTGATCAGAGCTGTAGTAACTCTCGTCTGACACGCTGTGTTGGTTAGTTGGGATTGGTCTTGGGCTGGTCTGCTTGTGCAAAAGGCAGAGTCATCGCAGCATTGCATGGGCCATGTAGTTGTCCCTTTTTAACCAGGTAGAAAGGAAGAACACAGCCAAGCTGAGCATCTTCAGTAGAGACCTTACCTAGCACTCCTGAAACTATCAGGAACCTTCTACAGCTTTTCATGGGACTTGGAGAGGTCAGACCTGACTCTGCAGGGAAGAAGGGGAAGCCTCTTTCTGTGTGTGTGAGCACATGCTTCAGTTCTTTGTCACGCTGCTCCTCAAATCCCGTGGTGCATCCAGAATGAGTCTTTGTTTGTTACCTCTGCTCCTTACTGCTGTCATCCGTGAGGCTGGCGACATCCCCCTTCTTAGTGGGAAAACAAACGGTGTCTGAATCCCATTCCAATTTTCCCCTTGGGGAAAAAAAAAAAAGAAAAAAAGAAAAAAAAAACCCCAAGAAATTCAGGAATTATCTGGGTCTCGGGAAATTTCCAGGCTCAGGAGGGGGCTCTTTAACACTGACCTGTAATCTTTCTTGTTAAGTGGTAAGAAATTGCTGACTTTTAGAAGATCGTTGATTCTTTGATTAACTCACCCAAAACTTCCAACATGATCCTATTGAGTAGTTTGTTTCTCCCCTGGAAATGGCTCTCAGGATGATATTCTCCTGAGTCATTAAGTCAGAGCTTTTTCGGCCACACTCTAATCATTTTCCATGAGAAGTCATTCATCATTTCAGTCCCTTCTGCTTTAACGATACTTTGATCAGAGTTATCTCTGATAATAGCTTGACATCTAATTCGGGACACCGTTTTGCACCAAATAAAATCCTGAAGTTTCCCGATTTGACCGTCACAGAATAGGAGCGATGGAGGGACAGGGAGCTGCTTTTTTTTTTTTTTTTTTTTTTTGCAAGTAGCCTCACAAGTTTATTTTTCATTAATACAATCTTACAAAATTGTATTCATGGTTTTTGATGGTAATCTGTAAAATATTGATTATTTTCTTTTTTTTTTTTCCTTTGAAACTTTTTGATTTCATATGGCAAAAATAATTTCCTGGCCACTTCTGCCTCTAGATACATACGGGTACATATTGTGATTCTGTATTGAGCTATATAATAGAGTTTTACCCTGTCCTCGACAACCTCTGGTGAGATCTCTGTAGATACAGTGTTTTGCTGTGAAACAAAAATGGAAATGACACATGGTTCTTGATTTATTTTGGCTGTCTCCCACCCAGTGCACTGCTGACCTCAGAGCTCACCCTCAGGTGAAACCACTGGCTGTATTCTTTGCAGCAGGACATTCTTCAGACCACCCCACGCCAGAATCCTCTCTTCAAAGTCCTGATCGCAGAAAACCAGCCACGTCCAAAGTCTATCAGGGCACGGTTAAGCTGAATCCTTTCTTCTGAAGGGGAACTCAAGGCTAAGACTGGACAAGGTTTATCTGACAGCTCCTTGCACGAAAATTTCTTCTCCTGTAAATTCTTGTGCACATCATATGAGCAGTTTGCTCTGGAGGACTCTCCCTCCGTATGCAGAAACACTTGCGTGTCCTCTCCTGCCATGCACGATTTTTCCAAAGAAAGAAGAAAATTGATGCTTCGACTGAGTCCCAGCTTAGTATCCCGGTTTTTCTTTCATTATACCACTGGGACTCTCATGCTGGGCCTCTGAGAAGAGTCACTTAACTCTGCAGGTTTGCCTAAATAAACATCTATGCTTAGACTTCGTGCTACTACCCTTGTTCCATTTTTATTCCTATCGTTCCTCTCTGTGGCCTCAGTATTTATTTGCAGTAAGAAAGCAAACAGCAGCTAGCCTGTCTATGACAATAGCTCATCTGTGACTTATCAGGAGAGAGCAACAAGCACAGATTTTTTTTCTCCTTGTGTGCTGGGTGATTTCAGACTGAGAATTTTGCAATACTGGGAGAGAAAAATCTCAAAAGGGCAAAGATTGCCAAATGTCCTGCCATGAAGTTCAGTTTCTGGACAAAATACAGAACTACTATAAACAAAAATGAGAACCCAAAAGCTTGTATAAATAAAACAGAGAGCATCTTGTTCCTAGGAGAAATGAAGAGTCTCTGTGCCTTACCTGGTAGTGCCAGCAACAGCAGCAGGGCTGGAAAAACCCCCATCCTGAAGCAAAAAAAATTGCACAGAGGAAAAAAATGTATCCCAGAGCTGCTCTATTACAGAGAAATTCTCTGTTGCAGGGGAAGCTAACTTCCTCTGTCACTTGCAGTCGTCTGCTGCCTGGAGTGATGATGCCAGTTTGGAATTGCTGAGAATTATCTTTTAACCACAACCCTAATATCACTTCTTGGGTGGGAATTTTACTGTCTGCTTTTTTGTTTTAAATATATTCCTGTCTAGATAGCCGTATTTATCATCAGGCTGTGCGGCTGGCAATGAAATGGGCATTTTTGATCCCCAATGCCACCTTGACATACTACAGAGCAGCTTTCCGTTGGATGCATTGGTCTTTACTGCTGCTTTGGACTTACCTCCAGGTTTGATATCCCTCATTCCCAAAGCCCTCGTACAGGGGTGGAGAACCAGCCCCCTGGCATCACAGAGGCAGCGGATGGCCCTCCCTGAGCTCTCTCGACAGGTCGGAGCTGGAACAAGGACCCAGATCTCCTGGTTAGAGCTGCGGTTCCCTTGTTTTATAGCACATTCAGCTGGGTACCACAGCACCATCCAGCAATACTGCAGCTGGGTTTGTGTTAGTACAGCTGCAGTGGTGTGCGACTGTGTACGGGCTAATTCACCCTCTGGAAATAAAGGAAATTAGTAGAGCACAGCCACGCATTGCCTGATCTGGTTTGGGGATCTGAGATGCTCTTTCTGCATGATACCATATGGAGCTGGCTGGATGTGCCAACCTCCCAGCTGGCTCAGAGCATTTCTGTGCGTTATAAACACACCAGCATGTGATAAGTGTTCCCTCTTTAAGTGACGTATTGGGATCTGGTGTACTGTGGCTCTTTATCATGAATCCACACCGAGTCCAACAATCAGTTTGATTTTATTGAGCTTTGCAGGCAGTGCAGGGAAAGAAGTGTGAATGCCCTTTTGGGTTTGGGGTCTTCCTGGAAGAGCTAAATGCAGCTTCACTTTGGGGAGTGATGAACAATGGTCACATGTTGGTTACATCCCCTTGAGAGGGCAGAAAAAATACAGGGAGAAATAGAGTTATTGTTTTTTTTGTAAAATCATTTGAGAAATGAGGAAGCTGGCTCACATGTAGACCTCCCATAGACATTTCTATTTTGTTCTGCAGTTCCTTGTGCCTTTCCACAGTGACTGTTCACCAAGCATCCTTGCTGTCCAAGGCAATCTTCATCTTGAAAAGACAGAATCTCTCACCTGGCACTGCTCTGAGATGACATGAAGTTGATGGGTCTCAGTTCAGACCCTGGTGGAATGCTACTGAGGATGAGTATCTGGAATAACTGCCTGGTGGTGTGGTGCAGCTGCTGGCAGCGAATGCAGAGGAGAGCAGAGCATTGCATTGCCAAAAGTGTGTCAAAAGCTTCAGTCTTTAGCGAGTGGATTTGAGACAGAACAATGTCTTTCCATTTTTACATTATGTGGATGTGTTTGTGAATTGCTCAACACACAGTTGTTGAGAGCTGGGGGAAAACTGCGCAGAGCTCTCTCACCTTTACCATGCCTGTGTAAGAGATAAGTCCGTGATGGATCTCTTGACAGAAAGACTTCATATTCCTCCTCTCCCCCTGGCCCTCAATCCCATCCTCTTCCATTAGGTTCAGGGGTCGCTGGCAGCATCTTTTCCATTCAGTTGCGTTGGAAAAAATTGGTCAGCACCAACGAGAAGAGGTGGTAGATGGTAGTGTTCCTTCTCTAGAGTGATAAGTTCATAAACACCTATGTTTAGTAGGCAATCCTTTTTTTGCAGCAGGTGGCAAAGCTTTGCCTGCAAATACCTGATGTTCGTTTCCCTGTGGATTCCCTGTGGTCTAGCCCTAAGCGCTGCTCTCCCAGGAGGGGCTGATTCCATCGTGTGCAAGGTCACCAGCGAAAGGGACGACCCACTGCTCGTTCAGGTTTGGGTTCTTCTGCTCTCTTCCTCTGCTCTTCCTGCTGTTGCCAATGATAAAGATCAGCACAGCCACCATGAATTTAGTAACCAGGAATCCAGCAATGATATAGAAGATGGTGAAATCCGCTTCGGGAGGGATGCTATGGGGAAGCAAAAATACAACAACAAAGCTTAGCCATGAAGGGGATGGTTTAACCCTTAAAGAAACTCTGGTAGGACACATTGTGAAGATAGTAACACCTCCTACAACATCCCTGCCTGTGCACAGCAGACCCTGGGCAGTTAAAACAACTGTAACAGGTTTTAACTGCAAGACCTCGCACATGGATAAATTATGATCTGCAGGAGTTGTTTTGCGGGGCACTGAAATGCTGCATTTTCTGGATTAGGATAAAGATGCTGTTTAGAAACCACAGAGCAGCTCTGAGAATTGTCATGGATTAGGAAGAGGTAGAGACTATGTGGTGGTATTCCTCTCAGTTAATCTGGTTTAGGAAGAGTAGAGATCCCAGCGTGAGGAGTTTTATGGCTTACCTGGAGATGCTCTGCACAGCACTGGGCTCCTCTGGCATCTGGGTCTCCAGGACAGCTACAGCTGATGGGAGAAACAGAACAGTTGGGTTCACAGATGTTTCTGAGTGATATTCATTGCTGTCACCAACACCAGTGCCCCAGCTAGGCATGGATAACCAGTGTGAGGCTGGGCACTGGGCTGTGTGCTGGAAGATTAATCTGGGTGGCAGTAAGGGGATGACATGCGTTAGATGTCCTGTAACAGTGAGGCCATGTTGCTGTAAATCAGGAACTAAAAAGAGGCAATAAAACACAGTACCTCCTTAGAGTAAGACAAAAGTAGATATTTACTAACGTGGGGCATCTGCAAACACAGGTGTAATTTAAGCAGGAACTCAGAAACTCGTGAAACTCAGAGCCCCAGGACATACCTGTCAGCACTTCCACCTTCACCTTCCTCAGGCTGGTTGTTTCCCCCAGGTAGTCAGTTCTGCACTGGTACAACCCAGCATCCTTCTTCTTGAGTCGCTTCATGGTCACTGTCAGGACCCCGTCGTGGATGTTGTCACTGATGGAGGTGGTGCCGTTCCTGTTCTTTAGGAAGGGCAGCCAGAAGCGCCGGGCGCTCACCACGTGTTGGCACGTGGTCTCATCGATCTGCTTGCACCAGCTCTTCTCCCTCCACCGCTGCTGCCAGGGGTTGTAGGTGCAGTTGATAGAAATGGTGTCCCCCTCCATCCCGTACACCACAGTGATGTTCTCTGCAGCGCAGGACGCTGGGAAAGGAGGAGCAAGCAGTGAGCTGAGTCACTTTCATATCTCTCCCTTAGCACTATGTTTATCCTAAACATCATTTCTCTCTTTTTGCTACTCTAGTGCTGGCTGCTGGCAGCTGTAGGGCTGTTACCTGTCTGCGTCCCCCATGAAAGATCCAGTGTGCTCAGATTCAGAGCCTGGGTTCACATTTTCTTGAACTATGTCATGATCCCTCTGCCTGCTGGTTATTTGGCTCTTGCCAGGCAGCTATTCTTGTTGGGGAGGGGGACTGAGGGAAGGAGAAGGTGTCAGCTTCATTAATATTTGCAGATTTTCTGAAGCTCAGGAAATGTTGGTCCTTGCTTTCCCTTCTGGTCTTTGTGGTGGCTGCTCTGGATTGCAGTCTGGAGCTCAGCCACATCACACTGTCTGTAATCGTTGGGCTCCTGCCCAGTAAGGGGAAGCAGTTTGTCAGCACAATTAGGGGATTAAATAGAAACGTGCATTTTCCTCTGGTCCCGAGCAGCATGAAGCTAGGCATTCAGGTAGATTGAACTGGCATCAGGCAAGCTGTCTTGATTTTTAAAAGCTCTTTTTTACAAGGCAGCTCATAAAAACATTACTTGACCCAATAATGAGAAATTATTTCTGGGTAACTCTCATTAGACCGCTCTTTCTGTAACACCCCTGCTTTGCAACATCCATCCTGCTTCCTTGCATACAGCTGCAGCACGGCAGCTTGCTTCAGGTTTTGACTTTGACCTCAGCCCTTGCTCTGATATTCATAGATGCAGATGTGCCTCTGGAGTACCCTCCAGAAAAGGTCCTTTCCAGTAAATGACGATGAAGTTTATCCCCATTTTAAGGCTTTTTACGCAGCAACGTACAGAAGCAACACAGCCCTGGAAAATGCTAGAATCAAAGTGACACCTACAAACCAGTGTCCAGCTAGCTGGTTAGCAGTTTACTTCTTAATCTCTCTCCTAATTTCTAAATCCAGGGTTTTAGCAATTTTTTTCACCCTATCTTTTAATACCCTACTAATTTTGGTCATGTTGACAACTGGACTTTGGCTGCTTGCCTTTTTTTCTTTTTCCTCAGTTCCTTATTTCTAATTTCCATTCCTCTTTGCAGTAGGCAAAGGCAGAAGGGACAGTCTGAGCTATTAATACTTCCAGAGAGAAGTGCAGCATGGTGTTCGTAGAAATCTGTGCTTCTAGTGAAAAAATTCAGGGATTAATGCCTTCTGTGAAACCATAAGTAATGATAAAACAGAAATAAATTTAAAAATAGGCTGTTGTGAGGACTTTGTGCTGGCTGAGCCTTTTAATAACACTTCTTAAAATAATTTCAACCAGTCTGGGTGAATTGTATACTAAAAAAACTGAAGGTCTTTCAGGCTTGACTACAAGGCAGCATAAAAAATGGATCTGTGCTCTCCAAGTATCCAACAAATTTTTATCCTGATCTGTTGCTGCACTCATTTGTTCAGTCACCGCTTACCTCCAGTCTAGTCCTGCACAATCCCTCCAAATGTTTGAACTCCCTCTCCTATTTCTCTTGTGGACCCCTCCTCACCCACAGCTCTGCCCCTTCCGTTCCTGGAATAGCCCCAGGGTTTTGTTTTTGTTTTAAATAGCCACAGCATTGAAAAAAAAAAAAAAAAAAACCTCTTGATCAGAATCATGGCGTTTATAAAAATTTGCTGATGCCCCTGCGGAAAACTTTGTGTCATTATCTTTTCAACCCATTCTGCTGACAGGTGATTTCCTATTTGTGTTCCTCCTCCCTTGTTGTGTGCTACTGAAAAATAGTGGACTTTTTTTCCAAACTCATTCAGATTTTTGGGACAGGTTTCTGTGCTCCCAAAGCCTGAATCTGTTGCCTTTCTATGCACTGCTGCAAGTGTGTGGGATCTCCAAAGAGTGGCCGGAGAGAGAAGGCTGCTGGCTGGGTCCTGTGCCTTGTTTCTCATTTCAGATGAACATTGATTTCCAAGCTGCAAATAGCCAAGTGCCCAAGATTTCAGAGATGTCCCCTTCATTCAGCTTTATTCTCCTCCTCTTGAACCCTACCTGCTGCAATTTACAGTCAAAGCCCCACAAATGCAAACAAACAGGGTTTTGCAATTTCACATTTCCCTCTGAGAAGGCACACAAGACTTCTGTCAACAGTGTTTCCTGTTCTGACTCGAGAAGATCCCTGCGAGAAAAGCCGAGCACTTGGATCGCCGCTGGCCCTTTGTTAAATTAAGAGAAAAGAGCAAACTCTGAGTCTGCCATCCTGCAATGTAACTGGGGAGGAAGAGTGGCTTGCAGAACTCCAGCTTCCTTCTGCTTGCATTGCAGCGTACCGACATGCAGTGCAACTCTTTATCCGTGGTAAGAGTTTGTATCAGTTTCCAAAGAACTGCTACAAGGAAGATGCCTTGCATCCGGACAAAGCTACCATGTGTCAACACCCATGCGGTCTGTCCCCATAGCTTTAGCAGTCATCTCATATAAAGTGCCAGCAGAGACTAAGTTCTGCACCAATCCTTCACCCTGTTAGCTGAAACCCAAGGCCACATACGCTTTCTTACCTGACAAGACCAAGAAGATGAGGTTCACGAGCTTCTCCATGTCAGCCGAGCAGCAAAGGGGACAAGAAAGGAGTCTGGAGAAAGAAGAAAAGGACTCTTGCCCAAGAGCAGCTTGCTTTTCCCCCCTCCTTGCTCTGACGGAAGGAATGAGCACAGGAACTTGGCATCTTTTTCATCCTGCATGTTGAGCAATTCTCCAGGGATGGGCATTTCTTTTGTGGGCTGAAAATTCAGGCATCAGCATCGCCCACTCATAGCCACCTACTCACAGCCACCACTCAGTCTAGACAGCCTGAAAGAGAGCATCACGTGGTGGCCTGAAACCCTGGTACCGGGAGTCCCTCCGGGCTCAGCAACGGTGCCTGTCCCCCAGAGCAGGCTTGACACGCGAGCTTTGCATGGGGTGGATTTTTGGAAAGCTGAAAGGGCGGCTCTCATTGAGACTCTGCAGGGAGCTCAGTCATGGGGATGAAAGGAGGGCAAGGGCATCATCTTGTTGGTTATTTTCAGGAGAAAGATTTAGGAGAGCCTATGCATGCAGCATTCCCATTTGCCATATAACTGAAGACAGGAAGACAAGAACACTGCGCTGGGGGGAGCTGTGAGGTGCTTTAGATGAGCAAACCAGACATCCTTATTTTGTATCTAGCAGAAAGGACATCGAGGGATGGGGCATTGGTTCCCAGCCCATCGGTGCCGTACTGCTGCAGGAGTTCAGGACTGCAGTTAAGGGAGCCTCCTCTAGCATTAGCAAACTGGTATGATGTGCACAAATTACTATTTTTTCTTTTTTGAATTTATTTACTTGGAGATCTTCCATTCAAGTACCAACAGACCCTGGCTTCTTGTGTGCTTACCTGCTTCTTAGCAGGCAGACAAACCTGCAGGTCTGTCCATTCATAAATGTTTCGTCTTTTTCTTTCCTCTAAATTAGTGTTTAAGAAAATGGTACCTTACAGTACCCAGAAATTCCCTGTGAGGCTTACTGATTGCAGGTTTTGTTCATTCTTGCTCCAGTGAGCACAAATCTGGATTCTCTTTGATCAGAAGCAACTGTCTCCCTGAAAACATCTCTCTTCCACTCAATTGTTTTCTACTCCAGCTCTTCCACTGTTTGACCCAGTATAACCGACTGCATGAATAGCAAACAGCTAGGGGGGAATCTTGGGCTGAGCGAACCATTTCCAGAACCATTTTCTTTTGCTTTCTGTCATTTCAAGTTAAGCATGTCAACTCTGAAAATCTCAACAAATAGATCAACTGCAGCCGTAGCATCCTATGGGATGTGACTGGCTTGTGAACAGAGAGTGGCTCAGGACCCTTTAATTTGCCACCTGCCTGCAGAGCTTGGTGCAGCCAAATAATGTCTCTGTGTTTCAGGTCTTTTGGAGAAATTGAGCTTGAGCCCCAGCAAACTCATTTCATATTGCTCACCACATGACTGCTAAATAAAGGCAGCGAATGTGTGATTTGGAGTATTTCCAGCAGAGAGAGGGAAGTCATGGTATCACTTTCCAAGGCCCTGGTGAACTCTCCCATGAAACTGCATGTGCATTTCTGGTCTTCTGTGACTTTAGAAGAAGCCATAAAAGCTTGCTTTCTATGGTGTAGCAAAAAAAAAAAAAAAAAAAAAGAAAAAGAAAAGAAAAAAAGAAAAAAAAAAGTGCTGGAAGCAGGCATGCTGGTTTGTATCGGTCTTCCAAAGGACTTACAAGAACCAGCTGTGCTGCTGAACAGGCTGGGAAGAGCTGTTTAAAGCACAGCACAGTGCTGCAAAAGAACTGAGCTACATCTGAGACGGGCTGGATCCTGATTCCAGGAGAGATACAAAGATGCCTTGTAACAAGGAAGGCAAGAGACCAAGTGCATTGGAAAAGCATGTTTGATGGTTCATTGTGTGATTTTTCAGGATAACAGGGTTGGATGAGGTCCCAGCCACTCTAGTGTTCCCGTGGCAGCTCTTAGAAATTGCCAACCTGCATCAGAGCTGCGCTGAGATCCATAAATACACTGGGTCTGACTCACGTGGACATCTCCATCGGTAAATAGTCCACTCTTAGTTACCATCGTGTCCCTTCTGTTATATCATCTGATGTTGACACCAGCCCCCTTATGTCCACAGTTCCTCTCTTGTCTGTGTCACACTTCCTGCAGCTTCTCGCACACCCTGCCACTTTCTTGCTCTGCCTGCAGACACCTCCCTTGTCTCTGTCTCAGGGCTCATCCTTGCAGCTGGCACAGCAAGGCAAATTCTGTTCCAAAACAACCCAGTGCCCTGTCCACTCTTCTAGTGCAGTATTGTTCCCATCCCTCCTTTCTCCAGAAATACTCCTTTTTCGTTCTCCCTGCCTGTCTTGGTTGCACGCTGCCTTGCTTTAAGCAGCCAGCCTGGATGTTCTGGGGAGCAGAGGGTGGCAGGCAGCAGGCCAGCCAGAAGCTGCTGGATGCAGTGAGAGCCTCTGCTGAGGAGGTGCTGAGAGGACGGGGCATGCTGCACAAGACGCGTGTGGGAAGCCAAGCCTGTACCTTCAGCTTTCAGCTGCTGCTTCATTCTGTGCTCGATGTACAGGCCTCCAAGACTGTGCCTGGGGATGACCCTGACAGCAACCTCAGCCCTCAAGCTTGGAAATCATTGAGTTGTCCCAAAGGTACGGTGTTGGAGGCTCTCAGTAGGGTCAGCCACACTGAATCCATCCCACAACCCTCTGCACTCTGTAAAGGGACACCTGGACCTGCACCCAGAACTGACATCACCTTGGTTCCCTGCTACCCTGCATGCTCTATTTCTTGATCTAAAGCTAAACTTTTAGTTTTAGTTTGAAAGCCTCCCACCATCTTACTTCTTACCTAAGCAAACTGATAAATTCAGGTTATAGGGGAATTTGCATTAACTCTCAAAAAGTGCATGTATTGCCTCTGTGCATCATGGTCATTTGGTAGCTACAAGACCTTCTGGTGCTCAGATCCATACAGCGCAATCCTCAGTTTGCAAAGTTTGCAATGCAGAGTATCATCGTGTTGCCACCCTCAAGCTATTTGCTTTCCGGCAGATGTTGGTTCTGCTTATTCCTGTCATCCAGCATTCAGATCCCCCACCCATTACATGGCAAATGAACCGGTCACAGCAAGGTTAGAGTTTTATCTCTTACAGCACCGGAATGAGTTTGCTTGGCTATAGTAGCTGAACCCTGAGGAGTGGGATGGAGTTTCTACCGGTGAACACCGTTGAAATACCAAACCCATCCACGTCCAGACAAATATTGCTCTTTTTGGAAAGGTCAGTCCTCCACACCTGCCCATCCAAAAGAGTTTTAATGGCTTGAAGAAAGCAGATGTTCAAGGGATCCTGGGAATACCCAGCACCTCTGTCTGACCCAGGGGAATCTGCACACTTGTGGCAAAATTCTCTACTGGCCTCTAATGGGAGGGGAGGTCTTAAAATGTATAGGCAACATATGGCAGCAAAAACTCAGCTCTTTCCCAGTATCCATCCACACATCTTCTACTCCCCATTCCCGCTTTGTATGCCAGTTCTTTTCTCCCATCTCTGGATTGTTTTGGGATTCTGTGCCTCATCCTTTGTCATTCGCTGGTAACTGCTTGAGTGCAATGATGGCGTATTCCACACTCTCATCTTCGGGCTTCCTGTGGGTCTGACTTGGTTCAACATTGCAGTAGAGGGGATCCTCAAGGCTGAGTTGGGATTTAAAGTTCAGGGTGACGTATTTTAGGTCTTCACTGTCATCCTTGGGACTTTCCATTCTTTCAGCACTGTCAAGCTGTGAAAAGAAAAGGAAAACATTTGTTAGCATGATGCAGTGCCACTACCACAGCTGTTTTCAGAAGAGCAAGATTTTCCCACGAGACAAGGAGAAGCCATGTAAAAAGCATACCTTCGGTCATGACAGAGGTGGAAGAAGAGAAAACTCTTTCCTCCATCACCTCTCTTTGATACAGGTTACACCCTCATTGTGTAACCTTGGTTTCTAGTCTTGGAGTAATTTCACAGAGATTACTAGAATTTGGTTCACTGTGGTTTTTTCCTACTGGAGTTTCCTTACATTACATTCTCCACCTGGGAACGTTCCTCTCTGGTGCCATTAGATACCATTTCCCCTCCCGCTCACAACCAAAAATGAGCACCAGGGTCCTCATCAGATGGGTCAGGCAGCTCCTCACGGACTATTGGGAAGGGATTCAGGTACCATATGGGAAATCTTGTTTTCCTTACCTGTGCTATGTCCTCTGGTTTCTCATAGATGTCCTCTGCTTCTCTGGTACCTTTGGAATGAGCCAAAATCGGAGGGTTTAGAAGTAGAGAAGTCCATTAAATGCCTGGGCATTGCCTATGCTTCAGGAGTTTTGGGGAGGGCTGTGAGATTGCTCCATGATAGAAGCAATGGGTGTGCCAGTGGGACCCATCTGCCCTGAATCTGGTGAACAGATTGCTCTCACTTCTCCTCTAACATGTTAGGAGCTGTCCTGTGCAGAATCTGGAGGAACATGGGTTTGACTTATTGTGAGAGGAGGTCACAGCAAGGAGCCTGCCTTGAGCCTTCCAGGCTGCACCTGCCTTATCTTCTCCAGGGCACTGCGAGCTGGGAATAAGCTCCCCTGGAGTGGAAGAGTGATGGCCAGAGGAGGCCCTGTTTGGTACAGACTAGAACATGAGACATCACCAGTCTCCACGTACCTCTTCTCTTCAGCTGCTTGTGCCGCCTGACGCAGAGTATTATCAGGCTGATGAGTGCCAGGATGAACAGGACGCTCAGGACCCCCAAGAGCAGGATGAAGGTCTTTACATTTGAGCTGAAGCCAGGAGAGCAAAGGAGTTACCAGTGTTAGATGGTAGCACAGCATGATGCTGGTGCAGTCCATTACCAACCAATGACCAAAAGCAGGGACAGGAATAGCTTTCATGCACTAGCTTTTGTGCACTTGGAAGGAGGGTCTGGTTCTCCTACAGCAAATGCTACTTTGATTTTTCTACCTGTCTGTGCCTTCTGAGCTTTTCCTAAACTACTCGCTGGGCTTTACAAACAAGTCACTGTTCCACGTTCAGAGCACAATCCCAGACTCCCTGGAGCAGGGACTGCCTTTTCCTCCTGTGTTTTGCTGCAGCTGCTGCACTGCATCTGATATATGATTGTACTCTTAGGTGATGCTCTAGTGTTGATGACAGCAGATGTCCAAAGGGGAAGAAAATCCTTTACATTTAACAGCCTGGCAAATAGATAAAATAGCAGCCAAGGACTATTTCATTGATAAATATTCGTGGACAGGAGTGAGTGAAGTCGGGACAGAAAGGCTTAGGGGCAGAACCTGGGGGTTTCTATCCCTGCAAAGACCACAGCCAAAAGAGAGTAGGTAGGCATCTACATTCCAGAAAGCTGTGACTTGATTTTATCAATCTGCTTCTTCCTTTGTAATTACACTCTGGGCAGGAGCTGGAAGAGCAGAGGCAAGGAGAGGTAAGAACGCCTGTCATATCGAATTCCTCTGTAACCTGGAGTCTTCAGAATGCCCAGGGACTGCCTACCCCAGGAAGCCAGGGGAAACAATACGACACATTAATACCTTGTGTCTGTGGTTCAAGCTCAGAGACCTTCTTTGGGCCTTACCTCGATGCTGGGGTGTTGCCAGACGGGGTTGCTGGACTTGTGCCTGGAGTACCTGACACAGCTGTTTCAGCGGATGCTGCGATCACAAATATAAAGAGAAGAATGAGCACCACTGGGCTGCTTTGCATTTACCAGCTAAAATATGGCTCTAAAGGTTGTCCCCTTGGCAACTAAACGTGGAAGTCTTAGTAGTCTTTGAAAGCCAAGGGATGAGTTGCTCTAAAGGGGCAAAATTGGTATCATGAGAACGAGGGACAGAAGCACCTCTGTGAAAATGACTGAAGCTGCTCTCGGGTAAAAGAGAAGCAACACAGCACATGTGTGTGTTCCAGTTCTGATCCCTGCTGCTATTCCGCAGCATGGTTGGGGTGCGAAGGTGCCGTGATGCAGGGTTTGGGCAGGGAAACGCATCCAGATGTAATGTGGGAGGTGGTGTGAGCTGGGCAGTGCAGAGGCTCGGTGGGAGAGTAGGAAAGTGAGCCTGGAACCTACAACCAACCACGTTTCCCTGCAGGTCAGTACTCACCCTCGGAAACATTGAGCGTAACCTCCACTATTCGGAAAAGATGAGTGTGTTCATAAAGCGCACACCAGTACACGCCGGAGTCCTCTGCCTGCAGCTTCTCCATGGTGATGGTGACAATCCCCTGCTGCGTGTCGTCCTGGATTGTCACTCTGCTTTGCTCATTTTTTCTGCGGTTCCCTGAAGGCTTCCACATCGTGTTGGCCAGCATGGTACACGCTTTCCTGCTTCCCTCTTTGCACCATGCTTTGCTCACAGCCCCATAGTCTAGGGTGCTGTATGGACACTGGACAGAGACGTTGCCTGACTCCTTGGCTGTGTATTGCTGGGTCCCTGGAAAACACCCGGCATGTTTGGTGAGACCCCAAAACATGCCCAATGGCACCCCTTCCCCATCACTGGAACACAAGCTGTGGGCTGAGTGCTCCCTGGACGTCCTTTTGCCTCCAGACATGAGGAGCAGAAGGGGATTGGAGCCAGATTCCTTTTGCGGAGGTGAGTCACAAATTGCGTGGGTCCTGTCCCCTTCTGCTGGTTCCCCCGGGGAATGCATGATCACAGGTGCTCAGCCCATGGGTTCTGGGAGGCTGGGACCAGGGAGGGGTGGCAGTTCTGGGGGCAGAGCAAGAGCAACGCATTACAGCGGAGGAGGTTCCAGCAGTGCCCAGCATGGGCAAGCTGGGTGCTGAGCAGGGCAAGCTGGGTGCTGAGCAGGGCAAGCTGCTCCCGGCCCCTGGATCCTGTGGGAAGCAGTTAAGAGTGGCCTCATATGTAGAGCTCAGGTGCCTGTTGGGCAGCCACCATGGTGTCTGCCAGAGGGACAGACAGGGAGATGGGTGTCAGCTGTGCCCTGGCACGTGGTGTGGTGGAGGACGGGAGGGAAAACGAGCAGGGGAGGTGGGGCTGAAATCTGCCAACAGCCACACCGCTGCCAGTGGGTACTCACTCTTGGACACAGAGAGCCTGACCTCCATTATCCGGGTGGGACGATAGCCGCTGTAGAGTGCACACCAGTACACGCCAGCGTCCTGGGCTTGCAGCTTCTGCACAGTGACGGTGACGGTCCTCTGCTGGGTGTCACGCTGGATCGATGTTCTGCCTTCCAGAGCTTTGCTGTTATGCGATGTTGAGGTGGTATCTGTCCTCGCCACGATATTACACAAAGTCTCACTTCTTCGACACCAGACGTTTGTCCCTGGGCTGTACGGGCACTGCACAGAGAGACTGTCCAACTCCCACTTGTGCAGCTCTGCAAAACAGCAAACATGCTCACTGACCTGCAACCGGGCACACGGGCACCCGGGGGGCAACTCCCTTGTGGATGGACAGTCAGGGACGTGTGAGGTGGGGTAGGATGAGAGGGAGCTGAGAGCCCTTGGAGCCAGCTGGGTCTGTGGGAATCCTTCACACCGGGCATGTGTGTGAGCGGAGAAGGCAGTGGGTGCTGCTGGGGAGGGTGGGAGCTGCTCAGCATGTGGGAGAGGGTGGACAGAGCAGGGGAAGCAATGATGTTGCTTTCTGCCAAGACTTGAGTTTGTATGGAGAAAAAGGTACTCACCCTTGAAAACATTCAGTGAGATTGTCCTTAGTGTAATATACCAGTCACCGGAACGGTAAGCACAGGAGTATGTGCCTGAGTCCTCTGCCTGGAGGTCAGTCATGGTGATGTACACTGTCCGATGCGTGTAGTTGTCCTGTATTGTAACTTTCCCCTTTGTGGTGTGGGTTTTGTGTGGGTTGCTTTCCACAAAGACCTTATATAGTCCATCTCTTACATGGTACCAGACCTTCTGCCCGTAGTAGTCAGTCTCTGGTGTGTAAGGACACTGGATATACAGAGTGCTTCCTTCTGACCGGCTCTCCTCTTGAGGTGTTTGGGCTTGGAGACCTGTAAATATCAGATGTGGTGAGGGAGAGGGGAGCTGCTGCAGGGCTGCCCACAGCCTCCTGATGGACACGGGCAAACTCTGCCTCTGACCTTCCTCCGTGAGCACTTGTGGCTGGAGGAACTCTGAAAACTGAGATCCATTTCTCCCGTTCAATTCACCTGCTTGGAAATGGGAGGGCTGATTTGTGGTGGGAAGTGTTGAGATTTGAGCTGGGACCACAACTGGGATTTAAAACCCAGTATCTTTGATTTAAAACCCACAGACACGCAAGTGCTGGAGGTGTTGGACCTTCAAGCCTGAACGGAGCCATACATGATGCAGATTCCGGAGCCGCCCCAGCATCCCAGCCCGGTTGTCACTGCCCCTTGCCGCAGGCAAAATGAGACCAACCCCTCCCCACGCAGGGGATGGCAGTGGTGGGGCTCAGCAGCTCTTAGGACCTGGGTGTGTACATCTGTACAGGATGTGGTGAAAGGGCAGAAGGAAGGAGCAGGGGCACCGTGTGCCCTGGGGATGAAATGCTCAACCCATGGTGGGACCTGAGCTTGCCCCCAGCAGCCTGCAGCTCCTCCATGCCGCATCCTCCGAGGATGTGAGTCTATGCTGGGTGCAGGGCTGTCCCAGCACCCCCACAGGGGGCAGTCCCTGCTCTGAAGGGTTTATTCGTTGGCCCTGAATGATCCTACTGAAGAGCTGGTGGAAAGATAGCGATTGCTGGGGGTAAAGGGAGAGGGTGGGGGAGAGAGGTGAGACCCATCTGGGGTCAGCTCTGCCTGGAGAGTTGCCCAGCTCAGAGTCCGTGTCAGGATTCCCCACCAAGGTGGAGCTCCCAAGGCAGGCGGCGGTGGGGAAGGGTGTCCCATTCCCCCTGGGTGCGTGGGAAGCCTGAGGCATGCCCAGCCCTTCTCTTACCTGGGAAGCAGAGCAGCAGCAGGAGGAGGGCTCTCAGCTCCATGGCCGTCCTCAAGCCCAGGGAAGGGGCATCGCTGGAGGCTGCCCAACCTGCCCCATCCAAAAGTGTCTGCCTTGCGAGCCTTCCTGCATCACAGTGACGCTCCTGGAGGAAGTGCTGAGGTCTTGCTTGCCCACGGAAATCCTTCACCACATTTTGCAACAAGGCTGATATTAAGATAATTTCAGGGTGCATTTGGGGAAGCGGCTGAGGGCAGAGCTCAGCTCGTCCTGATAGCAAAAGCCCTTTGCTGCTCTCGCCTGGCCATCATCACGCTCTGCCCTCACACCAGTGGCAGCGGGGCACTCCTTTGGCTGTCCCGAGCTGTGGGACATGGAGCAGGTCCTTCGCCAGGCTCCCAGGATGCCCTCAGCCCAGGCCCTCGCTGGAACATCTCCTCAAAGCCAGGGTAGCAACGAGTCCAGGGCTGTGTCTGCACGGACCCTCCCGGGGGCTGTGCCAGCTGGGATCCCCCATGTCCCCCACCCCGGCCAGTCCTGTTGTGCCCTGTCGAGCACAGAGCCCTTGGGGTGCCAATATTGTAATCCAATTCACGGGCATTTTAACTACAGGAGGGTTGAATTGAACTGGGATGCTGAATAAAAAAATAAATATCCAAAATATTCTGTCCTTCTGAAGGAATTTTAGAATAATATAATCATGTCTCCAAACAAAGCAATGCTTTTTGTAACAGAAACATCCAGAGCCTTTGCTCTGAATTCATCAGCTGACTCGGTGATCAGAGGTATCCTATGGGATAAAGTCTTCACAGGTGAAATCCAGACCCTGGTTTCAGCTGTGTCCCAGCAGAGGCTGGCTGCAGCTGGGACCTCCGTCCTGTGTACCTCACACACCGCCTGCTCCCTCTGCCTCCCCTGTAACAGTTTATTTTCCCAGTGTCCCAAGTTCTGTTGGGAAGAAGCTGCTGGATTTAGGTGTAGCAGCAATCATATGATTCTATGATAAAATACAAGCCCTCCATCTCTCCTTTCCTGTTACCATCATCACAGCAGAGCTGGGAGAAACCCATCAGTGTTCACAGCTGAGCAGCATCAGCACATCATCAAATGAGTTAGTATAAAACTGCTGGTAGGGAGAGGTGTTTCCCTTTTTCAGACTTTGGGGAAGAATTTAGCAAGCTAGGAGTTGCTGAGTAAATTCTTACATTGCCTTATCTCAGGTTGTGGTTTTGGAAAAAAAAAAAAAAGAGAAGCCTCTTGCAAAAATATTTGAAAGAACATAAAATTGAGGTAGGCCTTACAATAATTTGTCCTTTTTTTCACAGAAATGGAGAAGGAGACTAATGTAACACATTTTAATAGCATCTTTTTTGAATTCTTGGTCTGAGCAGGGTGTGGTGTAGCAATAAGGTAATAAAAGATTAGGGAGAAGGGGGGCCTGGGGAACAGTTTCCCCCAAGTTTCATGGTTGTTTGTTATGTGCATGGTTTTCATAGCCATTATTTTTGTGCTGTCTGCCTGTTGATCAGTATAAACCTTGCAGTAAATAAGACAGAACCTGGGTAGGGAAAAGGACTGTAAGAGAGCAGGCAGTGGAGCGTTTGCAGAATCTAGCTCTTGGCATCAGAAAAACAGAGAAATGTTTCAGAGGCACGCAAACCTCCGCGTGGCTGATTCTGAACTGAGCTGGGCTCAACCACGGTGGAGGTGAGGGAAGGACAAACAAGTGAGGTGGTGCAATGCCACAGCCCTGTATTTGTGCACCTGCTGAGCAGAGCTAAGGGAGGGAATGGGGAACAGCTTCTGTAGCATTTCTCCTCCTTTCCCTTGGCCCCCATGAGGAAATCTGCCTCCTGGAAATGAGGACAAAGCCAGCATTTCTCAAGGTGAGCAAATCCACCTGCGCAAACCTCTAGTTCCAGCAAAGTCTCCCTTTAGCGATGGCTGTCACACCTCCGGGGTGGACTCGTGGCTCTTCTGCAGCTGGCTCTGCTTTGGGAAGCACATGTGGTGGCAGGTCTTACTGGTCTCGATTCCACGCTTGCTTGGCCTTACTCTCATTCTAGCTGTTGTAAGGATCCTGGAGAAGGACTGTCCTTCCACTCTGCTCCCCAGACACCTCCTGCTTGCCACACTGGGAAACGTGTCCCTAGCTAGTGGGGGTGGCAGATTCCGTTCTGCCTCCCCTTGAAATCCCTGTGCCCTTCTCTGCCCTTCAAGGCAGTGACAGTAAAGAGGCATAATGGCACTAAATTCCTCTGCCTCCCCGCTGCCAGCAGATGTGTTCACAGGGGTCTCCCCTGGGCCAGTACCTACCTGCCTCGCTCCATCAGAGCAGCGCAGAAAGACTGTACTGACACCCTGGCAGCAAATAATTTCCAATTATATGAATAAGCAGCTTATTAACAATACATTCTGGCTAATCATTTTGTGCTAGATATCTTCACATTGTCTTGTCCCCAAATCCCTCTCTCATCAGGCACTTGATGCTCAGTAACAAGAAGAGGGAATGCACTTGTTCTCTTACGAACAAATCCCAAGAGTCTGCAATTAGTTTCTGCAACTGGTTGCCTACAAACTGAGCCAAGAACTGCGCAGCATTGCAACGTCTCATCCTTTCCCACAGCATCTGCATTTGCCCTGTGCATTGGAGGTCCTGTCTTAGAGGAGAGCAGCTCTTTGGGGCAGGACAGGTCATAAAGAGATGTCTGTCCAGGACCTAGCCTGCTGGTCGCTAAGGAGCAGGAAGGCAGTAATGAAGTTGGTCCTTTTGCTGCAACTCTGACAGAGGATCAATATGGCTTTTAATTATAGTATCACAGAAAATAAGATGAATGTTATCTCAGGAGGTCACTTAATCTAGCCCAGTGACACACGGTAGGTTCAGCTCTTTCGATGTAATTTCTAAAGATCTCTGTTTAACTAGTTTAGGTTGTAGCATTCTCCCAGTGATGTATTCCAGCGCTGCACTATCCTTCTTTAAAATCTCCTAACATCTGACTCTCCCCGCTATTTACATGCCTCTCTTCCTTTTGTATCCCCTGTGAACTCAGAGAACAGATTATTCCCTTTCTCTTGCTTTGTGCCTTGCTCCCTTTCGTATCCCCTGTGAACTCGGAGAACAGATTATTCCCTTTCTCTTGCTTTGTGTGCAATAATGCTTGCCATGCCTCCCTTAGTCTTTCCACTCTGGACTAACCACCCCCAAATCTTTTAATTTTCCCTCCTAGGTTGTATTTCTGACAGTTTAGATATTTTTTTTCCCCCTTTCTCTGAATTCTCTCATCAATCCACCTCTTTTCTGCCCATCTTCTTGGAGTCCCCAAAGCTCCCTAAAGTTTTTCGAGCTTCTCATCCAACCAAGGATGAAACCACACACTTCTCTGTTGCCTCCTGTAGAAATTCTTGCTTTTTGTTGATTTCTTCTCATTGCCATGAAGCCCACAGAAACCTCTTTGGATGAGACACTTGTTAAAATGTCAGTGGCCTTCCAGAGACTTCCCTGCCTTGGCTTCACCTGCCCCATGGGCTGGAAGAGCCTGGCAGAGGCTCCCTGCGGCGGCAGCGGTGGGGTGCAGCCGCAGAGCTGGGTGCGGAGGGGAGCGCTGGTTTTGGGGTGCGAGGCCACTAGAGGGCAGAGGAAGATCAGCAATGGGGTGCTGGGCTAGGGGACGGGGTCTGCAGGAGGAGCTTTCGCAGGTGTGGGGTGTTTGGCAGCTAAATCCTGTCTCTGCTACGGCAGCAGCCGGGTCGCTGCCTGGAGCTCGGCACCAGGGTGAGATGCTGGGATACAGAAAATTAGATATTAGAAAAACATTTCTTCACTGAAAGAGTGATCAAACATTGGAGCAGGCTGCCCAGGGAAGTGGTGGAGTCACCATCCCTGGAGGGGTTCAAGAAACATGTAGATGTGGGGCTTTGGGATGTGGTTGGGTGGTGTTGGGTTGATGGTTGGACTTGGTGATCCTTGAGGTCTTTTCCAACCTGAATGATTCTATTCTATATTCCCTATATTTTGCAATGTTTTGCTCAGCTAGTGGGCTTTGCAGTGACCAAAGGCTGGGGTGTCACGCAGCAGGTGCCCGGGCATGGCAGCTTGTCACTCCCTTGTTTGCCCTGGCTCCGGGAGGCAAGTGCCCATGGGAACCTGTCTTGTGCGTGCTGCAAAGTTTTTAGTGAAACCGTATATTTTTGCATTGCTGTGCAGTGTGCCTTAAGAGAGATTTTGAACAGACAGCAAAGACCCCTCTTCCCAAAATTCTGAGTCCTTAGGGCTTATGTTCCAGATGATGGAGCCTGCCAGGCGCTTCCTGGGGACACTGCCACCAGTTGCTTCTTCAGCAGAGTGACACAAACCAGCCCTTCGCCCTCATCCAGCCCTGGCGCTCTGCACGCATGCGAGGCAGCGGGGAATTGATGCTAAACCATCCTGAGAAAGGGGGATGCTGGGATAAGGGAGAAGGTGGGGGCTTGTCTTTGAAGGAGGTGGTAGAAGATGGCTCAGAGGAACGGTAGCCGCAGCGAGAGCGGAAGCGTGGCCGGGGGGGCCGGCTGTGTGCGTGCGGGGGCTGCTGGGCACGCGGGACAGGCACTCTGGAAGCAGGACATGGGCCACGGGCTGGGCTCTAAAGGAGAAGAGGCCCCACAGCAGCAGCTTAGCGAGAGGCCTGGTGTTTGGTCTGTTCCACATCAATGGGGCATCCAGCTGTGGCTGAGGATGAAAGCAAGCGCGAGAGAGAGGATTAAAGGCTCCCAGGGTCTCCTCTAACCCGCCTAAGACTCACCGAGAGGGCAGTGTGAGGCTTCAGGAAGGCTTCTTCATATGGAAAATATTATGTGAGGGAGAGAAAGAGAAGGGGGAAGGGAAAAGGGAGAGAGGGAGGCTTCTGTCCAGAGAGCGCTGGGGGAAGGCTGATCACAAAAAGCCTTTTGGAGGCTCAGACCCAGCCCAAGGAGAAAGTGCCGAGCTCTGCCGTACCCCAGTGCGGCGGGACACAGGTGGGATGAGCCTGGGGTGCCTGCGGATGGGAGAGAGCATCCGCG